GGGCGGTGGGCCGGGCTGGGGGCCGGGGCGCGGCGGGGCGAGGCTGTGGGGAGGCCGGGGGGGGCCGGGGGGCGGCCCCGGGCCGAGGGGAGGGCGCGAGGTGCTGGCATCTCGTCCGCTCGACGCCCCGGCGGCCAGGCCCTGCCGTGGGTGTAAGTGCCGGTGTTGGCGGTGGCAGCAGTCCCCCAGGTCCCAGCTGGAGCGGGATCAGTCGCTGTCAGGGCTTGGGGAAGGGACAGAAGCCCGTCTGCCCAGGGGGGTGTGCGCGGGGTGCGCAGGCGGCAGCAGCAGGGAGGATTTTCCATGTTCCTTTTGGGATGGGGAGGTTCATAGGTGGAAGTGATGGGGGAGTAGGAGGTTTGATTTCCCCCCCACTCCCCCGATTTTTTTTTTTTTTTACTCTGTGAGATTGAACTGATCACCTGCCTCAGATCTTGAGACTGAAGTAAACTTGAGAAAGCTTAGGAGTGCGGTCTGTTTACTTGTTTCCTGACTGGCAATAGGAATTTCTTCTCCTGTTCTTTTCTCGCTGCTGTGCTCTTACAGGTGTTTCTTCCAAACTGAGATGTATGAAGAGGTGTTGTCATTTACTGCTTATGTTCTGTCCTTTAAAGGTCCCGTGTCTGGTGGATTTTCGTGGTCACTGCTGGTCTGTTTGCTAATAAGTTCAATGTTTGTTTTACTACTTCTTTATTTATCTTGGATTTTTAATGAGCTTTTGTGTTCAGAAATGGTGGATTGACAGCTGCGGCTTAGTCTGAACTCTTAGTATTCCTTCAGCTGCAGTGCAAGGGACCAGAAAGTTTTCTAACAGGTTAATGCTTGCGCTGTGCCTCAGGAAGGATGAGGGCTCCAGGAAGGTACATCTCAGAGGTACCTGTCCCATCAGATGCTGTTAGACAGCTGTTTGAGGATTGTACTTGATTTGTTTTGAGTGGCAACTTGAATTTATTTTGTCCTATAGTTGCTCTTTGCAACATTGTGCATCTCATAGCACTTGGTGTTAAAGTTGGCATTTGATCTTCTGTTTTCAAATTAAGTGGTATGTTAGAAGTCCAGTTGTTTACTCCTCAGTGTGGGAAGTTTGATTTCAGTTGTTTTTTTTAATTCAGGTATTTTTCTTTCCCTTTTTGAAGCACTGACTTCTGCCTTTTGCAGCTGGATTTTAATGTTAATTTACAGCGTGGACTAAATGCCTGTTTTTGTTTGAAGAGTGACCCTGTGGCCTTTTATGGTTCTTGTTTATCTCAAACTTTGAGTAGCTCTACATGAATAGTATGTTGGGTTTTTTTAATAAAGTTTGTGTGTGTCTAGACATATTTGAGTGTTACCAAAATCCAAAAGAAGAAAGTGATTAAAGAATTAAAGAAAATGCTTGTGTGCTTGATGCTAAATAAAGAAGTCCTTGGATTGAATATACTCTGATAGGACCTAAAGTTTCTGTTCTGCTCTTGAGAGACACTTCAGTTTGCTTCCTTTAGGAGGCCTGATTACAGCTGGTTTGGTGCTTATCTTGTTTTGATTCTGTTAACTTTGGAAGGCCTTGATTTGATTTTATCTCCCCCCCCCCCTTAAATTTTGGAAATGGAGTTCTGGAAGAGACTTAAATGTGACAAGTATTTGCACTTTACTCTGTCCCTGTCTCAGTTCAGTGGTCACCTTTAGGAAAGGGCCACAAGGCTGGAGAGTGCAGGTGTGGTGGCATCCAGCTGTGGCTGCAGGAGAGCACGGAAGGCTGTAAGCAACTGTGCTTTTGTCACAAGTCTGTCCTTGGATCTGAAGCAGGTATTTTTGCTGGAAGTGGTCATCCTGAGACTCCTGGTGTTTTTCTCTAGTAGTGGTGAGCTAACATACCAGCATGGTGCCATGGCAAGCGGGGGAATGAGGGAAGAAGAGGAAAAGTTGTGGCTCTCAAAGCATAACCTAGAGCAGAGGTGCTGGCTGTTGCTGCGAGGTATCATTTGGACCATTTCCCTCCTCTAAGAGAAGTGATCTGTGCTGGCCAAATGCCAGCTGAGAAGTTATATTCTCTCCTGATATGTTGTGTAGGTAAAGATAATTCACTCCCAACCAAAAAAGAATTTTTTTTTTTTTTTTAATTTCAGCTGTATTTGTTACAGTCATAATTTTTTTCCATGGTTGAATATTAGAGTCAACATCTTCCCTGGCTGGTTTTCCAGGCTCACTGAGACTGGATTGTGTGGAAACCGTGTCCTGGTTGGAGCACTTGCCAGTCTACCTGGACAGAGCTTTAACACTTTTGGAGTTCATTTGTGAAGATCAAAAGTGACCACTGTGTTGAGCAACGTAAATCTTGTCTCCCTGAATCCAGACTGAGATTCATTTGGCACTCTCAGGTGTTAACCTTCATTTTTTCAGATAACAAAGGTGTGTGGCTGTGTAAGTGGTTTGAACAATTGTAGCATTCCTCTGTGTGAAAATGAAGTAATTATGCATGCCAGAGTCCATTAAACAAAGGGTGGTTGGTTATGGTCTTTTCCACTAAGTGAGACCAATATGCAATGGTAGCTTTTACTGGCTAGATGCACAGGAGCTACAAATCTCTTGCTCCTGGCACTGGGAGCTGTGCTGTGGACTGAGTACACTGAAGTGCCATAAATTTCAGAACTTGCTTCAAAGACCAGGGCTAGGAAAGTTTGAGTGAAAACTAAGATGTGTTATTTTTTGACAGTTGATTGACCACTGGAATGAGCTGCCTGAAGGTAGTGGGGAACCTCCATTCTTGATGCTGCAATTCAAGGCCAGAAACTTTTCTGAAAGATGTTCAAACCTTTGGGCTTGAGTAAGGAAGTGGAAACTTTATGGCCAGCATTACATGAGGTGCAGACAGGATGGTCCGATGGGCTTTGGGAACTCAAGTTTTATGTGTCTGTGCTGCTACAGCCGGGATACCTTCTCCATTTCCTGGGAAGTGCCACAGCATCCCAGGTGTCTGTATCCTGGTCTGAGTTTGGTGAGCAGCTGAGCTGACCAACAGCTCCCAATGGCTCATCTTGCTCCTGCTCATGCCAGTGTGGGCCCATCCTCTTCTTTGAGCTTTGGTGTTCATCCAGCCTGGCCCCAAGCTGGTTCGTCTCACTAAACCAGACGGAAACTATCTTGTTTTAATTGCACTTTATTCTGGCTGTGTTAGTCCTTTTATAGGTTCCTGTGGTTGAATCAGCTCACAGAAGGGCCAGACAAGCTCGGGAACTGGTGTAACATAATCAGCAGGAGAGTAAGACTGAGAGGGAAGGACAGGCCAGCCTCCTTTTGGCCTCCCAGAACTACTGGCTTTTAATTAACCTCATTGTGTGTAGTTTCACCCTGGTGCGTTGTCTTATCGCTCCCAGGCAGAGGCAGGAAAGCAGACTAGAAGATTTTTGGTCTGATCCTGTGCAACTATTCTTTTCCTTAATAGCAAATCTGCTCTTCCTCTGTGGCTTTTGCTGTATGCATCCTTGTTGTTGCTTTGTTTTAATTTTTGTTCTTTCCTTTCTCTACGTTTCTTCTAAGTGACCAGTCCTTTGCTGTGTGGAACTTCTTCAGACTCCAGCTTAGACCCGTTTGCTCATCTGCAGTTACTCTTGGAGGAGGTTTAAAAATACACAGCAAAGCCTGTCTTAGGAGACCAGTCAAGGAGCTGACGAAAGTGGGTTGCCTAGCAGAGGTGGCCTAATAAAATTGGAGTGGAATTATACTGTGCATCTTTGGGGCGGCTTCTGGGTGGTCTGTTTGGACGAGTTCACGTCCTGCTGGTGTGGAGTCTCGTGTGGGTTTCACTGTGTTGTCAAGTGAACTGAGATGTGTTTGTTTCCCAGCCTTGTAGGGTGCCATAGCTCCAGCAAGTGCTCCCCTAAGTAATCAGCGCCTTCGGCCTCACACATTGTGATCTCACAAGCCATCGCGTCTGTGATGTCACAATGGAAGAGATTCTGGTGCTCTGACATATGTGGTCAGCCAAGGAACCCAGCGGGAAGAATGAGCTCAAGAAATGGGAGAGACCTTCCTTAACCCGAGAGTGCCCTCCGGCCTTTAGTCAGCCCTTCCCATATTCACTTGTCTCTTCCATAATGGCACTTAGAGGGAAACCAGTGCTTGTGTAGACTGAATTATTTTTTTCAGTTGAACTACTGAGATGCATGTTTCTCCCAGATGAGTGGTTGCCCAACTATCCTCCTGTAACCTTCATTCTTTTCTGCTGTTCACCTCACTTGTTGTATTGCTTCTAATTTTAGACTGTAAGTTCTTGAGAACAGGGACCTCTTCGTCTGTAGTGGGAAGAGCCTGGGTGCAATTGTGGAGTGCTGTAAAAACAAAATGATGGATGCCAAGCTGTGTCTGAGCTGAGTAATGATGGGGCAGCATATAGGCATGCCGTGGCAATGCTTTGGGAAAGTTACATTACATATTTTCCAAAACACAGGCTTGGTTGTCTAGCAGTGCCCGAGACAAACCCGGCCAAACGTGAAGGGAGTGCAGCCATGGAATTGTACTGTTTTCATGTTCAAGAGATGGTGCTGTGAGGTCAACAAATTAAAGATGCAGATTTACCTGTCTAAAATTGTGTTACTTTATTAAATGGTTCTAAAAGCTTTGTCTTTTGTTGTTTGTTTTACTTTATGTATTTATTTTTTTTTGCAAGGTTGGATGGTGAGAGTGGATAAGCTGGTCTTGTTTCTTGTTTCCTGCCTCACAGTCTAGCCAGGTGCTGTCATTTTTGGACTGTAGTTCATCTAATGAAATATTTGGGTTTAGGTTAAGGTTGATTTAAAAAAAAATCTGAGTTATCTCTATTGTTCTTCAGTTATATTTTCACACAAGTGAAATATGGGCTCACATTTGACCTCTGAGTATGCATTTGAACAGCTACCAAAATTGAAGTCCTGCATTTTTTTGTTATACTGTGTTCCAGATGTTGCTAAATGTATGCAATTTTGTTCTATCAAAAGCATCTCTATTACCCTATCTTTTTACAATTTAATAAAATAGACAAACCTGACTTACATTTTTGATTGGTTTTGTTGCTCTAGCATTGAGCTAAGTTGTCTGTTGGAGGCCAGGAGTCACAACTGCCCCTAACGAGGCTTTGCACAAATAATAAACTGAAGTGTTATACTCCCAGAGCTTGTTTGCTTTTATTTTTTAATTTCAGTTTGTCTTGTTGTTTAGATTAGTGGGGGGGGGTTATTTTGCTTTGGTTTGTTTGTTTGTTTATTTTGTAAAATGGTGGAGACCTGTATTGCCATAACAATGTAATTTAACATGTAAGTGAAGGCTCTGATAAAACATGTAATTTCTTAGGTCACCCCTCTATCCTGCAGTTATGTGTTGTCTTCCTGCCCCCTCCCTACTCAGCTTATCAAACTGGACAGTGAAGGGGAATATTTTGAGGTTAAAGGCAAGCTGTGATTTTAATTAGATGTGGTTCTAAAAAGTTCATATTTATGTTATTTGCAAAGAGCCATTAAACTCGAGTTTGTAGGCTAATTTTTCTTGCTGTTGATGAATTCGAATCCTCTGGAACTTGTGTGGTGCACATCTTTCTCTGTGGCTTTGAGGCTGTCCTACAGGCAGGGGAAAGCACTTGCAATGCCCTGCTGGCTCTTGTCACCAGCATTCTTCACGGGGCAGGAACCCTGTCGTGTTCCTTGCCACTTTGGTTGTCCCTAAGCAACTCTCCCAGTAGGAAGCCTGGAGCGCAACAGCCGCCGGTGCAGATTCTCCTCTTTGCACTCAGTGGGGCCCCTGGCAAAGTGGCAAAGCCGGTGGTTACAGCTGGCACTTGGCTTTGCTTACTTGCTGGTGATCAAACTGTTGTGCTTTAGTACCATGTGCTTGGACTGCTAAGAAGCAAGAGCTGTGGTCAGCCTGGGATTGTACCTGCGGCTGACGTCCAGAGAATAATTTTCTTTTTTTTTTTAAATTATTTTTTAGAATACAGATGCTGACTATACGAAGTACTGTCACATGGGACACAAACTGTTACTCAGTACAGAACACAAACTTTATCTTCCAGCTGAAGCCCACCACATGTGGCCATTTCCCATCTTACTGGGTGCAGCAAATGTGAAGTGCTGTCACATTTTCCTAGGTCTGTGTACAATCTGTCAAAATAATTCCTGAGGTCCAGTCTCAGTTCATGGTCCCATTACATCTTATACGTATCTGTGTGAGGAATTTGAGCTGTGTGATATGAAATATTAACCTGGTAGGGTTGACTGCCAGATGTGACAGCTTGCACTGTCTGAGATTATAATCTGATCCTGTGTGCATAAGAAATATATATGTGATATTTTATGTAGGTTTGGAAATGGAATCACTGAACATGTGGATTTATATGGATAGAGCTGGTTTTTTAATTTTTGAAGCTGCCTTGCTTGCATCGTTGTCTATTGGAAAAAATATGGGATAATTACTAGTGCTTTGCATTGTCCTAGCACTAGTAAAAGCATTATAAATGCTTTACATGACTTCTAATAAAGTGTGTTTGCTCACCAGCTATCTTGTGCTCTGGGGCACTCTGACCTTGCCAAAGAAGATGATGTGAGGTCTTCCCAGGGCACCCAGAGCAGTGGCTGGGTAAACATGCCGTTAAAACTTCATTTGGCTGAAGGTGCAGAGTTTGCAGTGGGGTTGCCCTTATTTGTATGCTGCCTGCGTAGGGAAATCGCTCTACAATACCCCGCTCACACCTTTGTTCAGAGCATTGCTCCTCCCTCTGCCACATGGGAGAGAGGCTGCTTTTAGGATGGGGAGCCTGATCCTGTTGCTAGACATGACCCTCTGCAGAAGTTGTTAGTGTAAACAGGCACTGGCTGTTATTTCCCTCTGCTGCTGCTGCAGGGTACCTGTGTGACACAGACCTGCCGGGGTCTGGAGTGGTGCTGCCCTGTCTGCCTGCTGACGTGCCTGAATCCTGCCAAGACGGCTGGTTTACCTTTGCTGCGTGGACTCAGTGGCTTGGGAATCTCTGCCCCACAGTGTGTGGTGCAGCCCAGCCTGAAGATTCGTGGGGTCCATGTCAGATAACTCTGGTCTTGCCAGTTAAGATACATTAGAGAAGTATTGATCTTGCTGTGGGTGGGTGGATAATGTATGTTTTATTGCCTGTGTTTGATATAGGGGTTGGAGCCTGCCTGCCTCCCCCACTCCAACTGTGTATTTTGCTTTATGCAGTAGGCTAAAGGCCAGGTTTTACTGTAACTAACTTACAAGCTGCTTTATTCTGAGATACTTTATTTGCTGTGATGGGCCTTTAGATTCATAGCCAGTAGCTTGAAGATTTAAAGCATGTATACCTTAAATATCTCTTATCTGGCACGGGTTAGAAGTGAATATAACTAACTTCTATTTGGCAGTAATGCATTTATGAATGACAGCCAAAGCTGTAGATGGAGAGGCAATTGGTGGAACTGAGCCCCTTTAAAATAAATGCCATGTTGGGCTCTTTGTTTCAGTTTTGCAGCTTGAGTTTTCAGTTGCCCAGGTACCTGCTGCCTGGCACACTGCATTAAAAAAGCAAGCAGCCCCCCAAAACATGAAAGCCTTAAGGCAGGGATGCATATACACCATAGAATTGGCAGTGTGGGCACTGGCTTGGTCTTAGACATCTCAGCTTCTTTGATTTTTGCCTTTCACTCAAAACCTTGGAAAGGGAAGGTTACCAAATGCGTGTTTACTCGAAGCACACAACCTGCTTAGCTGCAATTATCTCCTAATCTGGTCCTTCTGAGTTTCTGTGGTCTCGCAGGTAAATACAGATTTAGCCGTTATTCAAGGCATATTATTTACCTCATTAAGTGTGTGTTTTGGCACGTGCATTATTTACCTGACGGACTAACGGATGGGAGAGAGCAAATGCTGTCTTTTGTGCAAACAGTGACTTTGTTCACGAGCGGCGAGTCCCCTTTTTGCTGTGCCTGTTTTGTCTCCATGCCTTGTGGCGGGCACTTGCGGCCCTTCACGGCAGAGCAAAAAGCCAGCACAGGTGTGGGGAGGCCAGGCTCAGAAAAGGGCATGTGGGTGGCATGTGGTGCCGTGGAGTTCTTCCCAGAGCCACGAGCAGCGGGACCAACTGCGGGGATAAATTTAAATATCTGTGTGGTGAGATGTGCGTGTATGTGTGTGAATATATATACATGCATACACAATTAGAGGGGGTACTCATATCCTTGTTCAAGGAGTTGTTGCAATTAGCTTGTTTTGCTATCAGTCACTGTACCCATCTATGTAACACCATGAGTTGGGCTTGAACTTCCTCCCTAGAGATCTGTTAACAGCCCTGAGTCTGACCTGCCTTGGTTAGTGACAGTCCTGGCAAGTTTTTCCTGCAAAGTTTTAAAAGGAAAAGAGTAGGAGGGGAAATCCAGGTAGGCTTGTATAGATAATGTAATTTATTAAATAGCATTTAAATAAAAATATCAAAAGGTGATGGCTGAGTGAGATATTTTTCTGAGAGGGAGACTGTAACCTGTAGAGTCCTGCTTACATTTTACAGTTTTTGCAGTCCCTGGATGTGGTTAGTTGACCTGATATTCTCCTCTGACAAATATCTGAAGGAAGAAATGGAGTGTAGCACTAAATTCACATCTCTGAGAAACCTCATACACAGAACAAATCAGAACTTCCCCCGGGGAGGAGCCTTCCAGATACCAGACACGTGGATTTGTAATAGAAGTGGGATATTTTGGTGCAGCTGACAGGTGTTTCAGGACCAAGCTGTTTGGATGGGTTGTAGTGTTGATATGTGTATTGCTGTATTTAATTCCTGCCATGCATCAGACACTGCATTGTATATGAAAAGATGAAAGGCCTCCTCAGAAATTTCAATGGAGCTTAGATTGGATTTTCTGTGTTTTAATTGTTTTTTGCGTGTGTTCTGCCGTGATAAGGTTCAGTAGTGGGGTGTGATCTGGTTCCTGGAGCCACGACTGTTGTGTATCTCATAGTTCTTAATTTAGAGCCATTTGCAGAAGTTAATTTTCAGTTGCCTGTGATTCTGGACACCTTAAACTCAGTCCAAATGTCATCTGTTGTGCTTAGAGCAGGTTACTGTGTTATTTCAGGTTTGCAATGCTGGAACCTCCACTGGGAAGCACAGAGGAAATCCCTGTCAGAGGAGGACAGAGAGCAGATACTAGGAGAGATGAGATGTGTGTGTACATGAGTAACATGAGTCTCTCTTCAGTTTCAGATGCCTCTGGATGTTCAATGATAGCATTCCTCCATACTGGAGCAGCAAAGTTTTCCCAAAACTTACTTTCAAGGGCAAGACAAGCTGTGTCCCCCCTCCTGGCTGGTGTTCTCGAAGGGTACAGCTCCATCGTAAGCAGGAAACTGGCGTCCCACGGCTTTGGAGCTTCCATGGCAGCAATGTCATCCTTCCCTCCACAGAGATATCACTACTTCTTAGTGCTGGATTTTGAGGCTACGTGTGATAAACCACAGATTCATCCTCAGGTAAATAGTCAATCCTGTTAATTATCCCCTTGCAAGTTGCTACTGATGTTCTGAGAGGTAAAAGGAAAAAGCACAGTGCTGGCTCACTCGTTTTTTTCTGGTTTCTCCCACCTTCTGTTACTGGTTCTCCAGGACTCTTGCCAGTCACCTGTTGTCTCAGGAGCAATACCAGGACTGTTTGGTGGGAATGAATCAAGGAGGCTGATTTCCATCAAGGAAGTCACAATTCATGTGTTATCGAAAACATCTTTAAGTCATGTATAATTGTCATTTGTCTTAACTGGGGAGGGTCTAAAAATTTCTGGCTCGGAACTTGCGTTAGAAGATTCTGCAAGGAAAATGGCTGTTTGTGGTGAACAGCTTTAGGAAGAGAATATTTTGAAATATAGGAATATGTGCAACATAATGGTATTTCTAAATTGAGAAGAACAACAGTTTGTAGATAATTTCAGTAAGGTCACATATCTTGCCTGGGTGTTAACTCTGGAGGGTGATGAGACAGGAAGAGTTCACCTTCAGAGAGAGCTTCCAGTGCTCTACCACTTGAGACATACAGAGATCCAGATGAAGTACAGAGGTTTTTCTGCAGGCAGTTCTTCCACAGTAGTGTAGACCATATTAGTAAATATATTTTCAGTTGTCAGCAGGATGAGCCTAGGTTTTCATTTAAATTGGAAAACTGTACTAAATAGAAAAAACCCCTAATATTGGGTTGGTAGTGAACAAACAGAATTTCTGAGTCTAAATTGAACTCGCCCTCCCCTGCCAAGCATTTGTCCTGCATTTATTGCAGTGGGTTAGAATAAGTTCCTTTTGCTTTGTTTTAACTATGAAAGGCTTAAGCAGTTTTCAGTGTGGTGTATTCATTTCCCAGTGCAGCTGTGGTTTCCCTTGGGCTTGTCCTAGCTAAGGGATGCTGCAAGTTGGGATTGAAGTTGACTCCTCTCTTTCCCAGTAGAGCCTTGGTGAGTGCCGCCTGCCTCTTATGTTTCTCGAAAAATGGACATCAAATTCCCTGCTCTTTTGCTGGCTCTTTGTGGGAGGCTGTTGTGGCTCTGCATCCAGTTCTGGTAGCAGGGTCTTAACTGCTCTCCAAGTGAGATGTCAGGCTATTTCCTGCATGCTCCGCCTCGGGTGCACAGACCTGTCAAAGCTGTAAATTGGATCTACCTTGTCCCTTTGGATATGGGTTTGGTCTGTGCACATTTTGATGCAAAACCATGATGCATGTGGAGCTAGTTTACAGCTGGCAGTAAAAAGGAGCATGAGTGGAATATGATTACTACTGTTTTAAGGAGCTTTGTCCCCAAGTCCTTGCCAGGGAAAGTAATGGTCTGGGCCAATGCAGATCTGCTATATATTTTGTTGGTGAGATAGCACCTTTAAGGTGGAGATGTTCTTCAGTGGTTTTTTTTTTCAGTCTGCTGTGTTCAGTGCCTGTCTGCGTCATATAATGTGTGGAAAGGGCTGTCAGTCTCTCACAGCCTCACCAGCAAATTAGTTTGACAAATAAAGAAATTACTTTTGCTACATGGGGCTCGGTGTTGCTGGAAAGGCTGAAAGTGCCTGCCAGTTGGGTAACTTTATCAAATGAGACGTTAGTTGATGCCCCTATCTACCTCTTACCTCTTTGCTGACCATCATGGCTTTTGTCCTCTTCACTGGTAGGCTGTACGTCATGGTGAGCAAACTGTGCCATGTATTTCAGTGATGTTTTCTGCAGGGTTTTATTGGCAGGATCTTTCACTGGCATAGTGGCAGACAGGTTTTGGAGGTTTTGTCTCAGGACAGACCTGAGAGCTAGGAATGGTGAGGTGCTGATCCTAACTGTGATCCTGTTAATTTTTCTGCTTTTGTTTTAATACCTGCAAAACAGAAGTCTAGATACAATGAAATTCAAATGCATTGGAATTTGATGAGGAAGCTGCATGTACAGAGTTAAGCTAAGCTGTGATTCAGGTTACTTTAAGTGGGTAGGCATAGCTGTAAATTTAGCCAGCTCAGCCTGAAAGTCTTGCAGAGTGCACTTGCCACCATGCAGCACACTTCACATTTTTCACTAACTGCTATTCTAAATATTCTGGCTTCTTACAAGAAACTACTGAAAGAGCTATCTTTTTATCTACACTAAGATGTGTGACTGCCACATCTGCTCCCCCTCCTGCTGTATTTACTCATGCTCTTCTGCTACCGGCAGCCTCACTGGCTTTATCCCTGGGGAAGTCCTTCATGCTCAGTCGTGAGCCCTGAAGACGCCTTCATTTCCATTCCCTTTCACACTGCCCGATCTCTCTGAGGTCTCGTGGTATGGCCTCTGTAATGGGGATCAAGGAGGGTCAAGGATGGTGGTATTCCCCTGGGAAGCTGTCTGCATTGTGGCTCCAGTGGCTGGGACTGCTGGCAGAGTGCCTTGTGGCCACTGCCCTCTGCTTCACCACTCCTGGGTCAGGCATCGAGGGTCCTTCATGTTCCCTGCCCTACACCCACAAAGGAACAGGAGCATCCTGTTGCCCTGACTTGTGACAGCTTTCAGCAGATACACTCCTAAATCAGAGTGCAGGTTTATACACATAGAAACCACTTGGCTGTGTTGGCTTTTGGCATGTATTTATGAATAATCAGACCATGCCAGAGAGAAAAGAAGTGGGGAGGGGGGGACTGACTGCACAGTCTGTGTCATGTAGTCTTTTAGCCAGCCAAAGGTCATTGGAGGTTGGTAGTAGGAGATGTTTATGGCTGGCCCCTCGCATGTCTTTAAAGCTTACCTTGTGCCTTTGGAATGTGATCCAGAGCCCCATGGGGTCAGGTGGGAGCTGTCATTGTGCAGAGGTCAGTGGACCCTGAACCAGGGTGGTGCTGGTGTGCTTCATTTTTCAGCTCTGAGTTTTCTCCTTTGCTGTCTGCAAAGAGTTTATAAGTACCTTCTGCTTTTATACACTGGCTGCCCATAGAGCTGGGTATATATGATGCTTTAGCTTCATGAGAAGATGCATTAATAAGTGAGCATCTTGCTCTTTTGTCCCTTTGTCCTTGTATACATCAGTGTTTATGGTGGTCAGTGCTTTCAGTGACTGTACTAAGGAGCTCCACAGGCTCAGATCCGTGGCTGCCTGTAACCTTGTTTTATTAATGCAGTAAGAGGGTGTGCCTCTTTCAGTCAGCAAACCAAGTACCTTGCCTTCAACTTCAGCAGAGTGGATGAACAGCAATGTCTTTTTTTTTAATATAAAAAGTCTGAAGGTAGAAATCAGATCTATTCGAAGATGATTTTGAAATTAGCCTTCTATATAGGATGTTAATCTCTACTATAATCTATTAAAGCCACTTAAATGAAAATCAAATAAAATACAAGCTTTGTATGTCTGCTGCCTGAAAGTGTAAAAGAGCATCAAACCCCTGACTCGGTGGAAGGAGCTGGATCCAGGAGTTGCTAAACTGCTAAATGAGCTTTTGATGATGATGAAGTTGCTTTTTCTCATGTCAGTTTTTTCAGGTGCTTGCGTTCAGTGTCTCAGATTCACTCAAATTTGATAATCAGTTGGGAATTAGAAATTCGCCTCTTTCAAACTCTCTGTAAAAGGAAAGTATGAAGCGTTCAGATCTTCTCATTGCCAAAGAAGGCTGTGACCAGAGGCAGAAGAACAAATTGTTTACAGACAGTACTTTCTGTGTTCTCTTAAATAGTGCATTTTAAATACAAAGGTATCTTGATATTTTTCTTTAGTTTATCCTACATATTTCAAATTTGTTCAGCTTGCATTTTGATCGTTATTTTGGGAGAATTTGTAATTATAATTGCTGTCAGATGAAACTGGACATACTAGTAAATACAAAACATCACTCACCATTTCAACATAAAACTGTAAACACTGAGACTGTGACTAAGCATATGTTCAGTTACTAAGTTACTTTTAAGTGTACAAACAAATCTGGATGATCAGAGTACATTTCATGACTGGCAAAAGTGTATTAACAAATGGAAGCCAGTGTTTCTGTAAGATAATATTAAGTACAAATGCAGGAGAAGGTTAAAGCATGTTCAGTCTGTGTTTCCTTGAGCATTGCAGGGGTTTTCCCCTGAACATCCGTCCTGCAGTCCCAACCCGCAGTCACGGGCAGATGCAGCTGGAGTGGCTGTGATGATCTCTGCCTGTACTGCTCTACCTGTGGTCTTGTTCCCATGGCAGGGACAACTGAATCCTGTGTCTCTGTTCCTGAGATACTGTGATTTATAGACTGACCTTGTAATGGGAATGGATGTTGATTTCCGCCAAATTTAGGCCATAGCAACAGATGTGCAGTCCCTGCCGAGCTCTCTGCACAGGGTGACTAGATAGATGATAGGGAAGCTGCCTTGGGAGCCGTATCCGAGGCTACTTTGTAGGAGGAATATGTCCCTGAAATCACAAACTTGCTGCAGGAGGAGGTGATGGAGAGACTGCTGGTCTGCTGGGAAGCAGGCTGCAAGGTACCTTCTGCATGCCTTCCACGTGGTTTCCTGCGGAGCCTGCATCAAGTCAATCCTAGCTGAAGGCCAGGATGGGAATGCACAAAGTGTCTCACACAGTAACAGACGTAGTCACAATCCTACCCAGAGGCAGATAAAGGACATGTGCCTGTCTGTTCTATCTGGACATCCCCACATAGCAGCTTTCTTCTCATACCATTTTCGTGTGGCTGTTTAGCTCAGTCACTAGAAATCACCTGCCAAAACCTTTATTGAAGGTGATCGTGAGTTGCTGAAAAGTGAAGAAATTCAGGCTTGTTTCCCATGGCAACTTTAACTCAGACATAAGTATTACAGTGGAATATTAATCTGCAATTACCTATATTCATGCAGCTTAGGCTTGGGTGTAGTTTTAATTCAGTTCTTAATTCAGCTTCTTACAATGCTGTTTCTAGTGAAAAGCCATTAAAAATGCATGTAACACAGTGACTTAAAAGTCTTTTTTTCTTTTTACTTAAAGTAAATATGTATATATTTTTTATATATTTATATT